ACTTAATGAGCCATCATTTTTAGCATAAATCGCATTTTGCACTAAAACCGATTTTTCATATTTTTATTTGGTGGGAATTTGATTTTCTAGTATTTTTATTTGAATCCAAATGGGGGGTACTTCCTTATTTACATTGTAAACTTAAGTAAATGGAATAATATAAAAATAAATGAAAGTAAAAGGACAAAGACATTTACTTAAATGTTGAAAATGGAAATAAGGTAATCTGTACACCAGTTGAGCAAAGGGGCAATATAATTTAGCCATACCCATTACTTTTAGTTATTTTATTTTTTTATGAGCACTTATAATTTTGTTTTGCATATACATATATATTTTTTTGTTTGATCATATACATATATGTAAGCTAATATAAATTTTTTTTTTGTGCCCTTCTCAATCGTGGGCCCCGGGCGGTGGCCCTGGTTGCCCTGGCCAAGGGCCGGCCCTGGTTTTGATAAAAACTCACATTTAAAGATAGTCACGTGACCAATTTTAACGAATATTTTGACGCAATGCAATGATGGAGACTAAAATTATGTGTGAATCAAAAGTTTAAGGATTAGAATGATTGATTTGAAAGTTTTAGGAATCAAATGACGATTTTTGAAAAGTTCAAAGACCATTCGTGATAAAAATGCTTTTTATTATTCTTAAAAGGATCTCTTTTGCATACTTGTGACTCAACCTAATTGAATCGCGATTTCTCGGTTTAAAATTCCAGCCCTACCTTTTATTTTGGCAACGCAACAAATATTTCTCTTGTGCATGGTTTGGACACCTTTATAATAAAAGAACAAAAGAAAAGAAAAGGAAGATACAAATCGATAATTAGGCCGGAAATGCAAAATTGGATGCATATATTAACAGAACAGTAGTAGTAGGTAATAAAAAAGCTCAGAAAACTCAACCAAAACAAAAAACAAAAAAAAGCAGAGCTAGCGAAGATGGAGACCGTGAGAGCGAGCAAAGCGAAGACGAAAGGCCTCAACGACAAGCTGTCTCTCGAAGATTACCTTTTCCTCATTCAATCTCACTCCCAGCTCCATCTCACCAAACTTCATCTCAATCAGGTTCTTCTTCGTCTTCTTCATCTAATTTAGTTGCATTTTCCTTTTTATTTCTGAACTAATTTCATCTTCTTTTCGGAATTTTGGTTTTTCAGATCATTAGCATGCACGGTTACAAGAAACTCCACAAAGTTCCCAAGGTAAAATTTCATTCCTTCTTAGCATCTGTTTGGTTCTAGAGAAAAATTTATGAATTAGTACCTGTAATTTCCTTTCTCGTTTAATTCTTTGTTTTTTCAGTTGAAATTTGCTTGAGATCTTCACCGATATTCTCACACTTTCTCGGAAACCAAACGAATCCTAACCAATCACATTTCCCTCTGTTTTTCCCCAATTTTTCTGCTCTCAAGAAACTTCTAAACGACGCCGTTAGCACACTGACCCTGGTCGAGCCGAGCCGCTCTACGCTCAGAAAGTACATCTCTCCCTTGGTCATCACTACGCTCGAGGACGTGGTCGCCGACCTCGACCACCTCAACTGGAAAGAGTGCTGCATTACCTCCATCGAAACTCTGAGCTCATGGCAAAACGCCCACTCTTTCCTTCCTCTGACGAGCCCTCAACACGACGTCGTCCGCTACAGCAAGCATCAACCATCGGTGCTCTTGGCCCTGGAATCGACACCCTACGGCGCCGTTTCTGCTCCCGACGGCGCTTCGTTGCCCTCTAGAGCTTCTGAGACCGCTCGTCATCCAGCGAAGAAATTGGCGCCGAAGAGGAAGAGGAAGACGTCGCCGAGAGGCGGTGGTGGCGGTTGCGCTCATGCTGCTTTGGATTCTGTTTCGTACAGATCGTGCTGACGTCATAGGTAACGAATCGTCACGTTTTGTTTGTGAATTTTGTTTTTTTTGGGTTTTTTTGTCTTTTTTATATTTTAATTTCTTTTTCGCAGCACCCAGAGCAATTTTCAGTCCTTTGCGTTGTCGTGGCGGGAGTTTGGTTAGTTAAGGAGTGTGAATTTCGTAAAAGGGAAAGGGTATTTCTGTACATTCCTTCCAGACAGTGGTAAACTTGTGTTTTACAGATAGCATTAAGGGTATTTCAGTCTATTACTATCACAAATTGCATTCGGATTTCATCCCTAATTGGTGTTAAAGTATTATTAGTATCTTAAATTGAGAAAAATAGGACTTACCATTTTGTTGTGTTCATTGTGCGCTATTTCTTCTACCATTCAACTTTATTTATTTATTTATTTATTTAATGCCTTCAAAGAGGTTCAAGAAAAACTGCTAACAGTCGTCATATTAATGTGAACATCATACATAACTTCATACCTAATAGTTTGGGCAGGGGCTTAAGCGTAATTAGATTATGACATTAAAAATTAAGTATCATGAGGAGATTGGTGAGGAAGCAATCCCAAACCCAAAACATAACAATCGAAAAATATAAAAAGAATTCACAAATAGGCAAAATTATCTGAAACCCATCCTTAGCAACTTGGGAGTTGTTGCTGGTGACTTGAATGGTATTAAGCTCCCGAATTGCTTTACTTTTCCGAGAATTTGATGCAGAGGCAGTGGAAGAGAACGAAAGAGTTGCAGTTGGTAGAGGAGCCACCATGAGGTTGGTTATATCAGCAAGAGGCTTCCTCCTTAACCCTGTGCTACTACATTTCTTGGATGATGACCCGTTTTCACGAACCGGGTCGGTCAGCTTTGCCATTGGGAAGAATGGAGAGATCGTGTTCTCTTTGTTGTTGTGGTCAGGGCAACCAGCGGCCTCCATTTATGATAACTTTGAGAGTCTGAGACACTTGTTTTCCTTCTTTTGATACAAATACAAGCGATATTGGAGGGAGGGAGTGAGCTGCTATTTGTAATATTTGTTTGTGGGATGGCTATTTTGGAGGGATGTTTGAATCTTTCTTGTTTTCTTCAGCTCAAAATTTCATTTTGGGTGTTTGGATTTTGTTTTCGAAGGTTGAAATTTTTGTGATTGCGGTCATGTGGCAATTAGGAGAGTTCGAAATTTTGACGTGGCAACTGGTAAATGCCAGAATGTGAGAAAGCGTTGAAAAAAGTTTATGAATTCCTTCCCGGGTCATTTGTGAAAGTAGAAAGGCAGGGAGTGGAAGGAGAGCCAAATCCCAAACCCAAATGTCACTCAAATCAAGATTTGGCTTCTTTTATGTTTTTCTCAATTGGCGCCATTTAGAGACGGGAATTTTTGGAGGCTATTTTTTTTTTTTCTCCAATGGGGAGCTCTACACTAGGATTGCTAAATTCAGGGCACTCAAAATTTTAAAGTTAATTTAATTTTATATTATCTCAATTTTTCTTAATTAACATGTCAACCTAAAAAAATTCAAATTCCAACAAGAAAAAATGAGAGTAAATCAAAGAAAATGATAGAAAGTGTAGATGTTGCCAAAACGTTATCAAAATAGTTGAATACAAGTATAGTAAATTGAAACTTCTGCGTGAGATGGGTGAATCTAAAGAACATAGCAAAAAATAGTCATTAATATTGTTTGAATAATTGTCGTCTGATAAGTATGAATCCACCAATATAAATTAATTAGTGGGTGTCAGTGAGGTATATATCAGTTGGTTGAACTTTTTCACCTCCATTCATGTGGGTAGAGGTTCGAAACCCCCAAACACCCAATGAATATTTGTGTAAACTCTCCTCCCTCAATCTCTTGTACAAATAATAATAATAATAATAATAATTAGTGGGTTACCGGATTTTTTTCAAACCGTTGGACAAATTAAAATATATGTCTTAATCTATGATAATTATCCAATAAATTTTTGATTAAATTCAAAATTCTTTTTATTAAAGAAATAGATCATTTACATGATTCTTTAATTTTTTTTGGCTTATTTATTGTAGTACCTCATGAAATTTTTGTTAAATCTCACTTTGCCTCCCGAAAGTTAACCCCCTATTGACCATGATTTTGCTGACACGGCAGGGGTATTTTAGTCATTTTCAACACATGGGTTATTTACCCACCAATCTAATAAGGCAAAGTGGATCCCACATCTAGCATGGACAAAAAAACTAACAAAAATTTATTTACCTTCAAAAAATTTAAAAATCAATTACATAAAAAATTACAAAATTAATTTCCTAACCCCCCCCCCCTTCCCTT